AATTTCAGGGGATCAATGATGAACGCACGTCCGAGCGTTTCATTCGTGAGCCTCCTTATGACCTACAAAATGGTTTGAGGATAGTATTGGAAGATAACTTGATACGTGGAAGTCGGATGAACGGGGTAGAAAGTATTTTGTTCATTATGAATGCGGGTAATGGATCCAGGAAAAAGCAGTCAATACCTTGCCATGCGCACAGTTCAAACTATTCCGGACAACAAGGCCGAAACGGCGGGCATGTTGGGCGAAATTTGCAAAAGTTTGCTTATTGCGGCTAATAAGCGATGTAAACGGCATGTCTGTTATCACTCACGGCATTGCCACTACAGACCTGCAGACAGGGAAGATACTGGTTAACCATGAGTTCTACGTTTCTGACCAAATTCCGTGAGATTTGATCTTACGATTCGCTTTCTTGTCTCAGCACGGTGTTGTCGCGGACCTCAGGGCTGGAGCTATAACATTACTCGACGCGAAACTTCCATTGAAATTTAGGCACGACGATAGTCATAGTGAAGTGCTTTACAACTTAGCTGTAAAACTGACAGAAATGGAAGGCGAAATATCCGAAATGATATCTTCCATTAGCCTTGCTTGATACTGAAACCAGAAGATGCTTAATCAAACTGTTGCATTCACACAAAAATCACATTTGCGTGACAGGGTAACCAGTGGGTAGAACAAGTGTGCATAAGCACAGATCAACATAATGCAATTGCCAATACTTATGTCATGGCCAGGAATTAAAAAGCCGGAATATAAAATGTTAAAGGAAATCCTTCCATCGTATTGGTCAGATGAAAGATGGATCGTTGAGAATGTGCGTCGACTACAGAAAGCTTACTGTTGCGACAAGAAAGGATTCCTTCCCACTACCTTGCATTAAAGACACTCTTGAAGCCCTACAAGGCACTTACTGGTTCTTCACACTGGATTTCATATCGGGCTATTGGCAAGTAGAGGTACATGCTACATGTGTGGAAATGACTGCGTTGGTGATACCTAACATATTGTATTAGTACAAAACACTAAAAATCGGGTTGGCCAACTCTTTGTCTTCTTCCTAATGGTTGATGCTCAGAGTTCTCAGAAATGTGCAACCAAGTCAATGTCCGGTATAATTGGACGACGCCATCGTCCATAGGCGGACAGTAAAAGAGCATCTTTCCAAATCAGCGTCAGTGTTGGAGTGCCTCAGTTCTGTTGGTTTGAAGCTGTAGCCGTCTGGAGAAAGAGATCAGGTTCCTAGGCCAAGTGATAAGCGTGGGTAGGTAGCATGCAATTCGAATCATACAGACGGGTTCCCGATAAGCAGCAACTATCGATAGATATGGCTTCTAGTGTTCGGGCAAGTGCTGCCTGTTGACCAAGCTGAAGTAAATTGCGAAGGTTGAGGCCTACTAATCTTAACGAGAATCGAGCGTTCCAAATAAAAACAAATGAACTGACGCTGTCCGCTTGGTTAAATACGGATGTAACGACATTATCAAAACGACGCCCCGCCGTTGCGTTTGAGTTAACCTATAAATCAAGAAAATGTAGGAACAAGAATTTAAGAATGGAAAATAGGGAATATATGTGAAGCTAGAGCTTGAAAACAGGATGTAAAATCATATAGGTTGGAATACGAAGAGGAGAATGGTTAAGCAATGACAACCTAACCCTCATCCACTCTGCTCGATGCAGCAGATAGGACGCCGTTGATTAATGATAATGTGTAACATCGTAGAATTGTTTTCTTTGCCTTATTCATTTCCACGCGACATTCTGCATAACGAAGATATCCGAAGATACAGCTACGTGATCATGGTGGCACAAAGGGACAAGTAACAACACAATCTCGATCTTGCATTCTTCGATGATCGATCTCCAAGCAAGGTACGTCACTGCACTACGATTAATCCAATCTCAGGATACGAATGCAAAACACATTACAAATGAAAAATATGAAAATTGTTAGAATGTGACGTTCGCCAGTTCAGTCCCCACCCAGCACTCATACGCGATGTGCGGTGAAAATTTACTATTATATTGTGATCTGGAGAATTATTAGCAATGTGAACAGCCCCACTGAAATGCTCACATCCTCTGCACTCCTCTTCCGATTAGACGTATGGCCACTGGTATTAGCTGAAATCCGTTTGCCTTCGCTTCAACGCCAAGGCTATTGATGGTTGCCGGCATGGATGTGCTGACCAACCAGGATGCATGCGATTGTTCTATCGAGTTTCACGTTTTAAATGCCTGCTGGCTTCCGGCACGCGGTGCACCATCCGTGCTACATTTATGCGTGAACCTATTGAACAATATGCGAGCAATTTGGGTACTGTAGCCTTATTGTTGCGTACTCCAATGTTGCAACCGCGCGTTTGTTACAAGTTGAACATCTGACCATGAAGAATTTTAGCACTCATCTCAAGACATACTCAAGAGATCCATGCTTCACTGCTTCCAAAAAAACGTCAGTCATAAGAGGTTTTGCGTGCTAGTTAACTTTGCAAGCAGTTCATCGAGAACAAATCTCAGTGCAGTTTAGCTGGAGTGTTCATAGTGCAACGATGCTGTCGCAATGGATTTTCTCCTCAGGCATCCGTTCTCCATGTCATGTACCTGCGTATTCCGCATCCGTTGTTGATAGCGCGGAATAGAAGAACGAAACTATTGGTGTTCTTCGATGGAACATTGAACAGAGAACATGAGGCAATCTTTCGTTTGATATTGAAATGAACGTACCTATGTCTGAAAAATGCAAATGTGGACGCGATTCCTAAACGGATGTAGGCTGTTTGTTAAAGTCTAACACCGATCTGTTGAAAGAACATTTGTAGTGACCTGGAGATTCCCCCGTATGACTGTGTAAACCATTCTAAAATATATTCAAATTATAGCTTTCTTATGTATTAGGGAAGTAAGCGGTTTGCCTGTTAGAACCTTGTTCCCGTTGCTTGGAAACACGAACACGATCGCCGCCTTTGGAGCGCGACTCGGCTGCGAAGGACGCTCCGTCAACTCACTCGACGCCAATGACATTCACCCTAGCTAGCTCTCTTCAAGTGCCCTATTTTTAGCATTAGTTAAGGCTCCTTCTGTCTAATAAACTTTTGCTCTAGCTTACTTTTGTGTGTTCTACCCATTGCTTTTGTTTGACCGTCTAGTCTCGTACCGGATATATTACGCAGTATCTTCATGCTATACACTTGACGTATGATGGAAAAGGAGCCTGAATATGCGCTATCCAATACAGGTTCGTAAAGTGCGAAACCACCATGTTCAGATGTCAAATCTTTATCCCTACATTGAAGTGAATAGAAACAATCTGACAAGAAAATGCATTACCTAACTAGGCGTGCTACGTGTTGTAGGGGCCAACACCACCCAATGAATAGAGTACACTTTGCACAAACGGATGTGGCACCGGCTCGGTGCAGTTTGCATGGCCAGGAACTGGTCACCAAATCGCTCTCTAGAGCCTGCACACTTACCTGGGATATGTTCGATTCATATCCCTAATTTGCCTGTTCGCATACCCACCTTTCTGAATGACAAATGCATACACACTGGAAATTAAGCCAGTTCTGCTCGGTGATTTTGGGTATCATGCATGGACATGAGCGTACCGAGTTGACAATCAGACGAGGTGATTGGGACATTGTACCCCAATGTGCCATTGTCAATATCACCGTTACCGTATTGCGAGAGCTGTAAAATGCTTAAACAATGTTGATGATACAAGCGACTTATCAGTACACCAGCAAACTGTTTCATGTTGAAATGGTTTAAGGACTATCCATATATATACTTATATATTTAGATATAATCTTACTTGACATCAGTCTGATTTCATGCACCCGCTCGACCGTTGGTGCGAATAAGTCAGCTTATTCTTTCAACCATCTTCTACATGAAACAGTCAGTTAATGTAAATGTAAGTAGCCCGCAGCGGCGGGTGGGGTTGCAGCATTTGGCAAGTCTCGCAAAACTGTAACAGCGCTCTCCTTCCGTAACAAATGGCGGTCGAATGTCACCATAACCATTTTGAATGGGGGCAAACTCGGACTTGCAATGTCCTACGCTCCTGTACATGCATAATACCCAAAATCTCCGAGAAGGACTGGACTATTGTCCAATGTGTATGCATTTGTCCATCGGGGATTGGAGATCATGATCTGAAACGACTAGTTTTCAAAGAAACTGGTGTCAACCCACTTCCAGCCCACTTTCTGGAGAACAAAGTGACTGAGTGTTTCTTGTGATGAGAGTATACACTCGAACGAACGTGCGGTGCCAGCCCAGCAAGGAAGCCGTTAGGCTGCCGCAAGGAAAGGCGGCAGCCGATTGGATGTTCACACGTTTCTCGCATGCACGCCAATTGGCCAACAGTTGGAGGCATTGGAGTGCGTTTGTTTGACTGAATCAAAGTAAAAATGTCATGCATTCACAATGGTCGTTAATTATGTATCCAACTAGCAGTATATACCGATATGTTTCACTCGCCCTCTGCCTGCGTTTTCGCCTGGTCCTGTTGTTTGCAGAATATACCTTTTGTCCCTGAAGGACCGACTTTTTACAATTCTGACATCCAAACATTATCAAACGTGATAGGATATGATTCCAAGGAGCCTCGGCGTACCAGTCAATTTAGCGCAAATGAGACAAAGAGTTAGGTAAACATTAGCACTGAAGTTCTTTCCATCTCGTTATATGGATACCAACTTTATTTTGGACTTTACTATTTCATTTTAATGCAGTTGTTCGGAGGTTTTAATGCACTGATCAGTTGAGAATCGCAGGTTGAACCAGCTCAGTAATGTACATTAAATAAGACGGATGAATAGGTTGACATGCAGATGGGAATACAGTAACTTCAAAGCGGTATAATTTAATTAGCTATTTTGGATTCATTTGCAGTGATGGTCAAGAATGCGTTTTTTATCATGCGCATGAATTTTCCACATTACCTCTGTGATAATGATGCCCTCACTTTGGACACTTAGCTATCAGGTTAATGCAAGCAGCCGACCACCATGTGTTGATTGTAGTGAGGGAACGTTCAACCTAGAAGAATGACATGAAACTCGTGAGCGGAATAAAGAATCATTGAAATTACATTATGCAAAGACCAAATGTACCAACGGCTGAGTCGAGCAATTTAAGAAACATTTACATTATGCTTAGTGCCTAACTGCTTTCTTCCTTAGCATACTCCGTTATTTAATAGGCGCCAACAGTAGGCTCGTAAGCAGTCCAGACGCAGGGCTGCCGCGCACCAGCCACCGGTCACAAGTTAGATAAAGATACTTCGTGAGTCACACGGTTCCTACAGGGAATCGAAGCCACGACGTCAGGATTAAAAGGTATGCTTGTGATACTTAAGGCCAAAAGTCGGTATTCAGGGGCAGTGCATATTGGTCACACACGCACAGAATCCATTCGATTAATCGCTTTAACCAGTTGGAGCCTCATAGGAATGTCAGTCAATTGGGTTGTACAATTTACCATCTCTTGACACTTGTTTGGAATGGAACGCGTCACAAATTGCCAGTAACTTTTACTTGGTAACCGTGCACGAAACCTACTGGGCCAGACCCGAATATGGTGTATTTAGATTAGTAAATCATTTTGCCTTCAAGATTTCTGTTTCACCCAAGTGCTGGAACTAATGCCACCAACTTTCGCGATTTTAACGAGCTCCTTACTTCTTCTTCCCAAAGAAATGTTTGGTACACAACCTCCAGAAATTTGTTCACATTGCCCGCCATGTATTGTCACATTTTGATTTGATGCAAGCTACTTTATTATAGTTGTGCGGCGATGATGAAGCCATTCAGGTAGAAATTAATTTTGAGTTCAAAGGCAACTTCGGTTCGGTGAATCCTGTGCATAAATTAATTGGAAAACGCTTGTTTTGGGACCGCTCCAATCCCACTGGTCTGCTCAATAGAATACAAAAATATGCAACACATAACTTTATCTATGATATTGTCCGCAAAAGCTAACGGAATATTTACTTTCTCAATATGACACTGATGGAATGGTTACATAAATGCGTTAATTATGAATTTTATATAGACTGGTAAATCATGTAAGCCGAGGCTTGTAAGTCAGCTGGGCTTCTCACCATCTGCATGCCAAACAGGGGTGTTTTGGTCGGAAGTACTGAAAAATGGAAAAATAATTAGACAATAGCTACTAATCGACAAAACGATATAAGGTCCAATATAGCGTGATCAGGACGTGCGTATGTAGTTACGCAGTAGTTCCCTGAAAAACAAAGCGCGCATTTTGATTGAGCCGAATTAAATCACGCTTTCTTAATCTCCACACAAACTGACCAGGCTGTCGACAAACTTGTGGTGTGTGAAATGTAATTAAAACATTAAGTAAAAATAATAAAGGTACCGCTGTTTACTTATAAGTTTTCGGTATGCTCGTGTGGTTACTTTTGGCGTTGATCACGGAGACACACGAAAGAAACATGATTAATTACAGCCCCAAAGCACACGAATAAGTTTGGAATTATGAAGTGAGCTTCTCTGAGATTTCACTGGTACGAATAATGGTGCGTTTATAACAGCTGGCGACAACACCAGACAACAAGCCCTATGCCACAGGTAATGAACCTGCATAAGTTGCTACTAAATCCACTAGTCTAGAATCGGCTTTCTCCAGTTGATCGTGTAGCGAACATACGGACGCCACGCGTACAATTCCTTGCAAGCTTCATAGTCCCTGCCAAAACATAGCAACCATGTCCTGCTGTTGCAATCCCCGAAATCGATATAGCCCACAGTCCGTAACAATTTATTACCGCACATTGCCATGCCTACCTCTAGCGTTTACACTGTTGCTTATGCAAATTATTGTTTCATATTAACCTATTTTTCCCCACCTATTAGACTGTTTTTCTAAGCTTATGGTTTTACGACTTATCCTTCCTCTGGTTTTGTGGGCTTAGGCATATCGCAACATTATATCACCTGTTACACTTAAAAATATATTCATACCACTAGGAGTGACAAAAGGAACACCAAAAATTTAATGCAAGTTTATAATGCGTATTGTTGAGGTGCCAAAATTCGTTAACACATAAACAAGCTAGTTCATGCAATGTGACTGATTGACAAGATGGATTCATTGAAAAGCTCATAAATTAAATGCTCGACGAATACTATCCAACCTCTGATAATATCAACAATGTGTGCGTCGAATTTTCGGTTGGATTTTTTTATGGGTCCTTCGATTATGATTTCCCCTTAACAGAGATCCACGAACAGAGACCAGCGAACTTGCCACGAAATTTCTTCTCCATACGGTTCAACACTGTTTTATGCATTTATAGTTTTGTACGCAGTTGAACAGATTAGGTTCCTAGAGTTGGTGAGATTGTGTCAAATGCATTTACCTGATCTCAGACACTTGCTTTTCATCAAATATAAAAAGTTTTCCGTTGTTAAAATAGGATAAAGTTAGATGCTAAACGGGTCTAAAGTAAGGACGAATAGAAAGCGGTTCAAAGATAGAGGACCGCGCTTATTCATGAGCGTGTTTTTCGTTACAAGATGTATTACACCAGGTATCCTTCACGGCTGCAAACGTGATGCGAAAATGCTGTTCCCTGCAAGTGCAGAGCTCTTTTGTTTTGGACAACATCCGACCCATGGCATTAAAATAGACGCATGGAACCTGATTGAACGGTTAGCTTTGTTCTCTCAACGAAGCTTTAGTGCATCGCAGGTTCCGACGATGCGGGAACATTTATTTCAATTTAAACGAGTAGGAATAGTACAGAACAATCAAACTGCCGTCTAGTAAACTTACTCCTAGATTTATCCGAAGTTATGTGTAAGTACAATGGCAAATGCATTCCTAGAATATTTTGAGACTGACCACACACTAATCTTGAGCATTTAGATATTTAATGAATGGTTAGTCGATGATAATGAAGAACGACGTGATCAAATTTGGGACGCTTTGATGGTTCACTAGTGTATGATGGACAAGAAGCAGTGGTTTAAAACCCCATAGAATGTCAACTAAACATAAATCCAAGAACAATTGTACCGGCGTGAAAGCAATATAGCATGTCTGTATATACTCATTTATCACACGGCTGTGCAGTGTTTATCTACCCGATGAAGTCTCATAAATTTTTGATGTCGCGATGTTTGATGCCTCCAGCAAATGGGTTACAGCGCACTCTAATGAGAAAAGATACAGAGAGAGTAAAGAATATTGCAATCTAAACAGCAGCGTTGCCTTGCCATTTTCAAGTGGTGGACTCAGCATTGTTTGTAAAGGTTTTTGTTCACCACTGAATTCTATGGGCCATGGTTGTCAGTTATTTTTCGGTAGGTGAAAGTCAGACCTGGAAAATGTCGTCAGTGTTCTGAGGAGAACGCAACAAGTAAGCAAAGGCGCAATACTTAAGTAAGACCGCGTAGTAATTGGTTGCCTAAATGTGTCTTCCTTGGGACTGTATCCATATAATAATATCTCGTTTACAATACGGAGGCTAGGCCTTAACCGCATATTCAACTTAAGAATGAGTTTACGAGCTAATTAGCAAGAGTCCAAGCCGGCACACAAAAACGCTGAAAGCTCTCCTCCAAAGCCTCAAGTTCAACTCGTCTAATTTTCCCCTTTTAAAAATCGCAGCAAATCGCCAAGATGTTCTTGCACCGGGTTACGTAAGTGCCTTTCACTGGTCATGTTTTGCAGAACCTTTTGTCCTAAAAGTACTGTTTTTTGTGAACCTACTGCTCAGCGTGAGCAGGTGGAACTATGCAAGCATGGTGAGTGATCGTTTATTACTTTTCATTCATAAATGTGGTCCAAATTCTTCTGGAGATAAGTACCGTCAGAATGTGTGCGAATAGTATCCGGGTTGCATGTTTGCCGCTTGTCACTGAGGTAGACTGCATACAGTAGCGGACCTTTGCCAGATGCTTGCAGTACACCAATGCAAATGTACAGGCTCTCCGACTGAGTGCCGGCAATTCTTATTACGATTGTTCTATCGTGTATATAACGTACTAAACGGTTGAGCACTGAACAGCTGATACCCTATGCCCCAAACATGCTGTAGATAACTAAGTGACTGTCTCTGTCGGAAACCTAAGCAAAGTAAAGTAAAGCATATCTATGGGGACTAATGGGTCGGCCACTATTGGATCTGTGCCCAGAAAAAGAATCTCATTAGTGAAATGGGAACGTCTGCGTATGGCACTATTGTAGACACTTCAAGTTATTTTGTTGTGTCTTCATCGACGCCGAAAAGAAAGGACTGGAATCAGAAGCTGTCTACAAACAACTACTACTACATTTATATGGAGATGCCAGATTTAAACAATGTTATTTGATCACGTATTTCCGCCAAATGTCAAGTTCAATTCATCATATATAAACAGATATATATATACACCAAGGAGGAAGGCTTCTGACCCACATGATTTGTAAGCAAACTGTAAGGTAGCCCGTATTATCCTACATTACCATGCAAGTTTCCAACCTTGCAAAAGGCAGGATTGACGCTGTAAAACATGATGTCTATTGTCAATAACTATGTAGATTATAGAAAATAACTCCTATTTATTCTGCTTATGAAACCAAGCTAATAAACTATGTAATTGAGGCTTGAAGTTCCAGTTCCAATTCCAACTTAGAATAGCTGGAGTCAAGCCTTTTGCTGACGCTATTTATTCGTTCGTCCTCGTCGGCAACGCATATGCAAATGGCAAAGAATTCAAGGTAATTAACCATGAAAGCGGTATGTTACCATTCATTTTCCGCTCGCAACAACCGTGGGCTTAAGGAACTTTTAACTACTTTTGCCCACTGAGTGGTGGGTGCTGTCGAGGGAGAGCAGACCTCGAGGGTTTGAAAGTGTGAGATTATTGACCGTGCACGAGGATTGTGAATGACCATTTGTTTCCGGTGATTAACAGATGCATCGTATTTGCTAAGGCAAACTTGTTCCTTGATTGCCCTGCGCAACTGCCGCGTGCTGTAACAGTGACATTCCAAACTGAGCTACCCATCGCCCACCCCAAAACGTTCTACCCACATGCCGACCGCTTAATATAATCATTAACCCAGTCTACCTGAAAGCGACCAGAATGAGTCAATACCTAAATTTTACGATTTTCTCACCCATAAATCACTAGCTTCCATTAGTTCGAACATTTTCCATTGAATCAGTAAATATGGACCGCAGATACAGTGGAAGCAGGGCAAGAAGTGCTGTTTTAATTGCTAAAGTCTCATGCTTCTCCATTCCAATTTATTAAACGTTCCAGTGATATGACGAAACGTGATCAGGAGATAATCGTTCAAAAGCAAAAGGGTTTTCAATGCATCGCTTTCAAATGTGACAATTACATGAAATTCACCGCGAAACGAACAGGCGCGTTGATGAAATAACCGCAAAATGCAGCGCACTTACTCCGGTACATGTTTACATGACCACTGCTAAGAAGTTTAGTGAAGACATTGGCTTGTGGCAGTTAACATCCCATTGCGTAAACGAAATTACAGATAACCGTGGAGACAGCCAGTTTGTGCACACTGATAGAATAATTGAACCATTGAATATATTCTAAGGTAGCTCCGCAAACCTAGTGAAATAGGTTGAAAATTTTCATTTTTCACAGCTACTGAATCTGGTTAGGAGAAAACTTTATTAAACAGCCCATGTGGCCGCCAAGCTCTTTACAAATCTGGAAAACAGTATTAGTGAGTTCATTACTTAAGCGATTGTCGTGAGTCTTTACAAAAAAGAAAAAATCGTAAGTGAAGCACAAAAGCTATGAGTAGCACATATGCAGGGATAACGTCGCAGTCCCCTAAACGTCTAGGCTAAAATCATCAACCTCAATCATACAATTTTTGAATTGCAAGTCGCTAAATGACAACAATATCGAGGTCGCCTAACTTTCAGTCTTATCATGTCCGGTATCTGCGTTGTTCACTTTATTTACGGTCGTTACCAAGAAGCTTCCCTTTCAGCCTACACGCACTCGGATCGCCTTAAGTTAGTCTGTGCTCCAGACCAAATTCCATGAGACAACACCCTATGGGTCACGAATACAACTATCTTAGATAGTTCTTACAAGGTTGCCCAAACCTACGCATATTTCTTGTTAACTTTTCTTCAGTCAATTAGTTGTGCCTCACTGTTCTACAGATGATCTTCAGAACATTTCGTCCATTGTCGTTATGACGATGATAGAACCGAATTTACACCACCGCAATAGTCGCGCACCTAGAGCAAACGATTCGTCCCCTGGTTGTCATTAAATACTTCCCCCGATTTAAAGTTTGAGACGGGTTCATAGCAAACTTGTCAGATACCGAATCCTTGCATTAAAGGAAACGACCGCGATTCATCTCAACAATCTTAAGTCGTGTGCGCAAAAATAACTTACTAAAGCTTTGCTATTACCATCGTCAGCTGCAGCCTTTGCGTGAACGAATCTCGCTCACTTTGAGCATTTCAGCACATTCATTTTATAAAGACTCAACGCATAGTTCCTACACTTAACTACAGTAGAACCTCAAAAGTCGACAACTTTTGTATGTTGACCACCATTAGAAGGTGCCGTTTTTCATGGACTGAAAGCTCACAATGTATGTTGACCAATTCAGTGACTTGTACTTTGACCATTTGGACCATACCAGTCACCGTTAATTTACCACTATAAATATACAATGTTTAACTGTGCACTGGTCGCCTATCGTTTGTCCAAGCGACAAAATGTTTCGCCTTCACAACCGCTGTACTTGATGGCTCCGCCGACGTTGAACGATATGGTAGGTTCTATTTCTGAATGTGTCCGCAAGCAATTCAATATCCAATACGTACGTTCTAAACCTGTCAAATGTTCCCCTTGATGCCTTACAACTGGAAGCATTATCGCTCGGAATGGATTACAAAGTCCCACCTGGTAAGCTAAACCGCTTGTTCATAGAGGCACAGTTTGAAAACTTTTATGACCAGTTAGCAGGATTACAGGCGTCTAGTCCAGATATGTCAAACTGGTTTAGAAACAAACTAACTGATATTGCCCATGAGGTCACAATGACGCCAGTGCGTGAGAAGTGTTTGCTTACAAGGCGTCATCTTTGTGCACTACGAGAGCTGAGAACAAAGGGGGTGATGGTACTTAAGCCAGACAAAGGCTCAGGAGCCGTCATTATGTGCAAGGAAGAATACACACGGAAAATGCAAGATTTACTGAGTGATGCTAGCAAATTTAAACTCCTTCCAAAAACAGAGGACGTTAGTGAAGTGGAAAGACGCATCACGGAACACCTAAAGTTGCTCCTCTTACACCGTGTAATTGATGATGAGGTATATAATCACCTAAAACCGGGAGGGTCCAACATACCTCAGCTATCCGGTTTGCCAAAGACCCATAAATGTGGTATACCGCTTAGACCAATCTTGTCAATGGCAAACTCGGCACAACATAAGTTGGCTCGTTGGCTGGTAGAAGTTCTTTCGTCGTTAAAGCAGTAGACCATCCCACACCGTCTGAAGGACTCTTTCGAACTTACAGAGGCTTTAGATGAGTTTAACCTATCCGATAAAATCATGTCCACATTGGATGTACAATCGCTTTTCACCAATGTTCCGCTACATGAAACAGTTGATTACGTGTGTGAAATGGCAGAGTGCTCCGATTTTACTCTTCCAATGCCAGTCGAATTATTAAAGGACAGCTTACTACTATGTACTGAGAACATCGGTTTCCATTTCCAAAACATTCCTTATCGCCAGATAGATGGGGTGGCAATGGGTAGTCCGTTGGGCCCAATACTAGCAGATTTTTTCATGTCGATGGTTGAAAAGAAGTTGAGTGTGGAAATATCGCTGCTTTCCTACTATAAGCGATATGTGGATGATATGCTAGTGTTTAGCTCATCAGAGGAGCACATTGCGCGTTTAGTCGATCGCCTGAATAACGTGCATACGAATCTGAAAGTAATCAACGAAACAGAGAAAAGCAACTGCCTTCCATATCTGGACGTGTTGATTTGCCGAAGAGCAGATGGGTCCATTAAAAGAGAGGTTTACCGAAAACCGACTTGGTCAGGGCAGTACCTACACTTTACCAGCTTCTCCCCAATGCGGTACAAACGGACCTTGGTCAAGACGCTATTCAACCGTGCAAGGAAAATATGCACTACCGACAGTTTAGATGATGAGATGAACTCGCTAAAGGATACGCTGTTGAAAAATGGCTATCCAAGTAGGTTCATCGACAAACATAGTCAGGCGAGGGTGCAGGGACAGAAGGTATCGACTGTGTCTAAAAAGAAGATCTACATCGAGCTACCATTTAAGGGAGATTTCGCTAATATGAGGACAACGAAGCGCATAATTTCCGCAGTCCAGAGGACTTATTATGCTGCCGAAACTGTCCTTATCAACCGGACGAATCGAATGTCTGTTACCCCAATGACGGAAAGACAACCTATTGGCGCCAACTCATATTACATTTACCAATTTACTTGTAGTTGTGGTATACACTACATTGGCCGTACCAATCGATCGTTGAATTCCAGAATAAGGGAACATGTACCTAAATGGTTGCAGCGTCAAATCACTCAGTCCTCGGTTGCTCATACTACCTGTTCACGTAAAACACCTGCTTCATCCATTGGCAGGCATTTACTTGCCACCTGTCACCTGTTTGATCCGGCCACAATGTTTACAATCGTGTTAAGACATACTAACACCCGTTTCCTACGTTTTGCAGAGGCAGTCGCGATCAGCCGTATCAAACCGGCACTCTGTGTGCAGAAACAGCTGTTCGTAAGCCTACGGCTGCCCTGGGCGTAGGGGTGTCAAGCCTACCCCTCTACCCTGTTCTAATTTTTCCGGTCTCACCCTACCAGTCGTCTTATATATTTCCATGTTATTGTGTTGGCACTGAAGAGACAATACGAAATGTTGACATTTGCCAGTGTTCGTCTTCTTACGGCATTATTCAAATTCAATATCCATTGCCTTACTATCTTCTACCCCCTTAGATTACATCTAACTTACGTGTTCAACGTTCAACGACTTCTCTGATCATGCCCATCAATCAGGCGGTGGATTTGGATACTCAAACAGAGTTGGTGTCCTCAGGCCTAGTTTTTAGCTGCGAAAAGAACTGTCACCGGTAACTTTTTCTGATTTGAATAAAAATAGACATTAGCATGAGATTGAGAGCCACACTTCTCTCTGTAGCAATAAATATTATGAGTACACTCGGATAGATCATGTTAGTAGTTATGCAAGTTTTTCTGCTATTCCAATATAGGACTTGTTGCAAAATGCGGGATTTACCCGCGTTAGATAGACAGGTATAAAAAGGAGTGACGAAATAACGGTAAACATAGAGTAAATGAAGCTGTAGTCGTTGCAGTTGCAACCATGGTATGGACTGGATGCGAACACGGACTACTGTATTTTTGTATGTAAAGCGACTATCCAAAAACCTAGTATCATTAAACTTCGACGAAAGATTTAAGGTGCCTTTACACCACATACAAGGCTCTTAATGACCGCAGCCCTATTTTCACCCAATAAAAGCATATGGTAAATAAATTCACATCGTTAAACGGTTTATCAATGACTGCAAAGGAAACATTTTTGCCCAATTATTTCCAAGAAATTACAAGTGCTCCCTATAAGTTCTCTCGGTGTGCTCGAAATGCCGCAATAGGCCTAGCTGTAACGAGTTCTCTTGAGTAATCAATGGGTGAAGGCTGCACATTAAACAAGAAGGTAGGTTTCATATGAGAGCTAATTTTTACGCTAGTTGAAAACATCATCTAATCGGCTGTGTCGAAAACGCACCAGATGATAGATGCCATTAGTGAGGCGCATATACGTGACTTAGGTTGCATGTTAATATAGCAACTGGACCCGAATTTAGTAAATTTATCAAATTCACCTACACACTGCGGTTAGATGAAGATAGCTAGCGCTTAATCGATGATATACATATGGGTAGATAAATCCTTAGATAACTTATTCCATCTATGTTTCTGCGGCAGATCGTAGTAGATATAGCACAAAATATGTGGCAAGGTAGAGGAAAATTTGACTTAAAGTCTAGCAGGTGAGTTGAAACCGGGGATCCAGAGTTGAAACAAGCGGGTTAATTCAACAACCACAGGGTTTCTTTTAGCTTGTCGGCCCAAGCACCAATGGACATGATGAAGAATCAGCCAGTGGCGAAAAAGAAGGAACAATGATGCAGTATTTCTGCTATTAACACATAGGTCAGGTAGTCGAAAACTACGCGTCAAGGATATTATGGGATTTCCACGCTTAATGTGGTCTTTTCAAGGTCTGATAGGATAGTGAGCCGGTAAAACGTATCTAGATTAGTTATACAAAACTACTAGCCGTACGACAATGGATTGCATGCCATACACGATGTGCATAGAGTAGTCGAGACATCTTTGTCATCTGCCTGCAATCGTATACCCGTACTAAGGGGACAAGTGATGTATTAGTGAAAAAATACAAGGTCCTCTCAACGTGGATAAACCAAAATGTTGGCGAACTAGTTATATTCGATTCGATTCAAACTCAAATCCTACGCTGCTCTTTATGATCTCGGAATACCCCGGTAAAGTCCCGCGATGGACCATTTAAATGGTTTCAAATTATGCACCATTAAAATAAACCACTTACACAAGCGGTGCGTTTTACACACGCAAAATATCCTGATTGCTTTTTAACTTGTTTCACACGAACCGTTGCATGTTCGTCTGCGGCAAGGCATTTGATGTGCATTTTGACGCTTGGTCACAAGCTTGAAACAACACGCCTACCTTACATTCCTGCATGGCCGGTTGCATAAAGTGATACGCTTCAATTGGCTTGGTTAAATCGCACAAGACTCCAATAAAAATACGTCAGATTATGGTAGCATATGTAATCGCAGTACAGGTCATAATGTTCCCTGGAAGTGAAGAAAGTTATCAAAACATCGACATGTAATTGTAGGTTTTATATCTGCCGAGGAGGGACACCTTGCTGAATGAACTCTCGCTGTAGTGCCGCTTTCAATCCAAGATCCACACAAGGTCTACTTTAGATGTAACGTTTGGGGCAATAACGGAGGATTGTAAGTATTTCGGCAACTCCAGATGAACACGTAGAACGCTGCTTAGAAATATACTGATCTGGGCTAGGGAGACTTTTGCTTCTAGACATGCAGCGTAGGAAAGTTAATCGAAAGTCATATTTTCTTATGAATGCAAAATGCTAACTGCAGAGAGGAGGATAGTTAACACAGCATGGCAAATGCCATTACTATATGATTACCGGATTTTACAGTATTTCTGAAGTTCCTCAGTGCTTCCGTTGGATGCAATAAAAGTAGAAGGAGCTTCATCACTTACAGTAAGTCTGATATTCTGGTGGTTGTTGCCAGCACAGGCAATTTGGCTGAACCTGCATTCGGGTTTCATGCAAAATATTCCCACTTCAGCATCATCAAGGGATGACGTTAACAGTTAATAGACATTGAGTGATTTACTTTTAGATGCACGAATCGAAAGATATGTAGGGAGCTTGTCACCAGTCCTTCTTATCATACTTTATACATTCGACTGAGCTTTGCAAGCCACAGACATGAAGCTTACGTACGTGATCTTGCAAGCTTAGAAGAAACGGAATAATCAAATAAGTAGACGGTTCTTCTCAAGGCACCATAGTTCTGAAACAAGCAAAGAATAATCTGACGAACAAAATCTTTTATATGAAGCAGACGATTGGCAAAAGCAAGAAATTTTTATGTTATAGAGCAGAATTTAGCATAAACTCCCATTAAAAGGGATAATTATCCACTGCGTGTTTTAATCCCAAGTCCGTCTCCTAGGCTACCCATGGTGCGGAAAGGGAAGTACTGAGCAATAAGCACTCTGACTCCTTTGTATTTTCTTGATAGTCATTAAACGTTTAAATGAAATTGGCAAATGATTAGTAGGGGGTTCAATCCGATGTAGGCGAGAATGATTCAATTAAAACAAGTCCCAGCGTGTGATTTAAATCAGTTGCGTTTTAACATTAACCCTTGGAAATTACATATGGTCACGGCTGCAATAACTGAACACTCATTCATGCGGCGATGACCAAGAGCAGAGACAGTACAGCGAAACGAAGAATAACAAATGTGAAAGCAAGCTTTCCAAATGGAAATGCCTCGAAACTAATGTGTGAAAAATATCTACTGGTGCCTTTCGCAAGACTAAATTATATGATTAATTAGGCATATATAAACTCAAGCGTTAAAAATCAACTAAAGCAAAAATATATGCGCAGCTGCTTAAACTTGTAATCGCGGGGTCACCAATTAGCATGGAGGAACCGGTTAAGGAGAATACGAAGTCTGTCAGGTTACCTCACATATAAAGTATCCTGATGCACCTTAGCGTCGGACGGCCGTAAATCCCGAGGTATGCCAAAAATGTACGTGTACGTAGAGTCCTA